AAACGGACATGAAAGGCTGCAGAACGAAAGACATTCGAAGCCCTTGTCTACTGTAGCAAGCTTAAGAACCTCATAAAACCCGGTTTTACGCTCCTTGCGACCTTGGCTCTAAATTACTTCGTGAAAAGCTTGCCCCGAAGGTGAAGGCTTATTATAAGAATTTTAGTAATATTGGTATCATTAGTATTGTGATTAGTTTTTGAATTGAAATTGTTCGTAGTGTTGCTTGCTATTATGGTAGCTGTTAGCATTTAATATTCCTATTTAGATGGCGGTTATCATTTGGGGTTCAGGTGCTCTGATTGCAAAGATTTTTGCACCCAGTGGAGGATGGCTTGGCCACTGCAGCACCAGACACCTCCGAGGCAGGCGCCCTTGGACCCCTTCCCAGACCCCCTTAGGAAGATCCAAAACGTAGATCCCTTAATGGGGGTTCCGATAAAGTAGCCTTAGTAGTTTTGGGCCCCAAATTAGGGGATCTACTTTCTAGATCCTCCCGGGGGTCTGGGCTAAGGTAGGGGTCGTAATAGTTACCTATACTATTTTGGTGGGTCCTTATTATGAAAATAGTATAATGAATCCCAAAACCCGATTCTAATCATTAATGTCCCTATATTACACAGAACATACTTTAAACCAATAAGAGGAAGCCCTTGCAGTCTAAGGTACTACTGGACCCTGTGGGTCCAGGGTTTTGAGGCTATGGAATCCTCTTTGTTATGTGTCCTTGCGCATCATATCTTGAGCACGGAAACGCAACTTCCCACCTCGCACCCCGTAACTGCTCCCCTTTGATTCGAAGCCCCCGGCAATCGATCCGAAACTAAAACCCCAACAACTACGGGCACCCCGTGATCAAACGCAAAGCACCCGTTGCACCTCGAATTAGCGTTTAGGGCTCATTGTTTTGGGCGTATTGCGAGCGAAACCTGGCAGACTTAATCGCTGTGAGTTTCCGGTTACAGCGAGATAGATCAACTGTGTGTTTCGCGCAGTCCTTGCATCCACAAGGCACGCACACCAAAACCACGACGTGCACGAACACCTCGATTTATTAAAGTTCTGTGGTGCTTCTCTGCCGGTGTCCTTCCCAAGCTGCCCTTTCCTCGCAGCAAGTGATGTCGCTGCACCAGCTGGCCATCTCGGTGAATGTTTCGGCACTGCACTCAGGAAAGAGTGAGTCCCTGTTGCAGTGTTCACGCGGTTCGGAATGCAGGGCTGCGTTAAACGATCCGGAAATTTTATTAGAGTATTTGTCGCAACAAGAAGCCCGATTCACGGGGTTAACAAAGTCGGTGGATGGACATATATGCATATATATATATATATATACATATACATAAATTCTTGTTGTGGGCAGCTTAATTTAGCTTCGTAGCGAAACCCTATAGAGTTTTTGGATTTGATAGGCGTGAAGTGCTACTTCAGAGAGTCGGCACACAATGCCTGTAGCAAAATGAGCTACGGACATGCGAAGCATGTTTCATTGGCAATGACAGCAGTGTTTATGCCAGGAGCAACCCAGTAACAACAGAAACGAGAAAGTACCAACAAGATGCAGGGTGATGAGGAGGGATGAGTCACAAATGGGTCCATTGCGGCCTGACTCAGTATGTACATGAATTCCACAATCATGTCATTTCCTGCATTCCACAATCATATCATTTCCATAAAGCCACAAGGACTCAAAGGTCTGCGCAGGATAAAACCTAAAGGCTGATAGCAGGTGCAAGCATGTCAAGCTCGGGAGTGGCATGATGCTCTCAGTATGGATCCGTCTACTTCAGAAACGAAACAGGAATCCTTCACTGCGAGCGAGATGTTCGCTTCCATCGGATGTTGAAGAATCGCCCCTCCACACAACTTTGCAAGTCCAAATCTCGCGACAACCACACCGTGCGCCTCGAAAGGGAAAGCTCAGGTGGAGGGAAGCAAAGGGTCACTGCCGTCACTGCAAAAGCAGCTGGTTGGCGGATAATTGTGTTCGGTGTTCGACGTTATTTACATCACCTTGACGGTTTGCCTTGCCTGGTGTACAACAGGATACAAACAATTCGCCTGAAGATTTTGCTTCCCGTTCGCAAGAACTATGCTTCTCGTTACATGTTCTAAAACCGACAGTATACAATTACAACTAATCATAGTTAATCCCTCAACCCATAGCCCAAACCGTGCAACTCAAAAGCCCGATACCCGACCCAGCAATCCTACCCCAAACCCCAGAACCTCAAAACCCTCCAGCCCTAACCTAAACAACCTAAACTTACGAACCAAAAAAAGGACACCCCTAACTACAAGAACCCTTACCACGAACCCTTGAAGGAACCCTTGAAGGGCTCCTTTAAAGGGAGCCTTTACAGGGACCCTACGCCCTGAGCCGGCCTCCAAGTTCGATGACGCTCGACTCATCAAGGCGGCCTTTGATCTCTTCGCCGGAGCCTCGAGAGACCCCCAGGCCCCCGAAGGATCCAAAATAATAATAATAATAATAATAGGGTTTTGGGGAATATTATTATACTAGAGTTAATAATAATAATAATAAGGAACCCGTAACCCTTCCAAAAAAGTGTGGGTAATTGTTTTAGGCCCTTGTATTACCCAGACCCCCGAAAGGATCCAAAACGTAGATCCCTTGATGGGGGTTTAGGGTTTAGGGTAATTTCAGGGTTTAGGGTTATTTCAGGGTTTAGGGTTTCTTAATGGCGGTTCCTATAAAGTACCCTTAGCAGTATAGGGCCCCAAATTAAGGGATCTGCTTTCTAGATCCTCCCGGTGGTCTGGGGAGAGGTGAGTTTCCGAGAATTGGTGCTTCTAGTATAATCCATATGGAAAACTATGGAGCCCGGCTATGGGAGTTTCCGAAAATAGGGGATCCTTATCTAGTACCCTAAACAGCAGGATCCTTATTTAAGGGCTCCAATATAAGGTACCCCGGATTTTTGGAAACGGAGGGAGTCCAGCACTCCTTAATTAAGGAATAAACCTCAAACCCAAACAAGAAAGCCACATTTATTTTTTTTAGGGTCTTTAAAAAGGGATCATCTTGCTAGCACAAACAGAAGCCATATGTAACTAAAGATAGGTTACTCCTTAGTTCTGTCTCAGCCTTAAGGGAATCCAGCACCCTTGCAGGATCTAAGAAGTAGATCCCTCAAAAGTACCCCGTAGGTAGTATAGGATCACGAATGAAGGGTCTCTTCTTCTTGGGGAAGGCAGCCCGAACGAGATTCAGAACAGTTCTTTGCGGAGTTTCTTTCCATGGGTCTTCATTGGGTCTGAGCTTCAAGAGAAAAAGGACTCTTCGAGTGCGTTCAGGTTTCCTTCGTGTCGGGCTCAAGGTTTAGAAAGGCTGCAGAGGCTTCACTTTGCGAAATGGTGAGTGCATGGGGCTTTGGGCTACTTGACACGGAATCCTGGGTTCATGACGCAAGTCCGAGCAACAGAGAAAATGACAGAGGAGAGATGAAATCACGAACGACAGATTCGAAGCAGGCGCTCAGCTGCTCATCAAAGCAGACATGCAGCACTAACTGGAATGGTGCATTGTTCGAATCTTGTTCTTTCTTTTCCCGTTTCTCTTCTTGAAACAAGCACAAAGTTACTTATGAAAGCAAGACTTGCGTGGTAGCTGGAATGGTGCATTGTTCGAACCTGTTCCGTATGTTTTCCCATATCTCTCCAGGCTCAACTTTGCGCGCTCGTGGCATGCCACGGCCCTTTTGTACCTTAGTCCACAGTCTTGTTCCGTGCCGATTCTTGTCAAGGTCATGTAGTGCGGCTCAACTATCCGTGAGAACTGCAACTCCTAAACCCGCAAACAAAAAGAATAGTGTTCTTCGGTGATTATGGCAAAGTTGGCCGCAAAACTGCTCTAACACTTAAACGGTCCCTCCTTCACTCGTAAAATTCCTTCAATTTTGTGAAGTTGTAAGGATTCGAACGTTTAGGGACTCAAACCTTACTGAAGCCTCCCACAGCCCAATCTGTTTTATGGTGGTTGTGAAACTCCAATATTGCTTAACTGAGGCTATCTTTCAACCCCGAAACCAGCAATCCCTTAACCCTCAGTCCTGATCCAACTCTAAGACCCGGCACCCGAACGCCCCGAAACTAACCTTCAACCTTTTAAGTAGCTTAAACTCTGAAACCAAGCTTCCCGCTAAGGACCCTGAAACGGAATAACTATAGCAGAACCTCTTACGGTGACTGCAGCGGGATCATCATTGCCCTGAACCCAAAACAAGGCTTCCGGTAAGGACTCGCTTGAGTACGGCGAATTCGTCCAGGCACACAGCACGCCATGACGACTTCAAAGTATGTTCCTCAAACGGGTGGTTGTCAAAATTATGGTTCCTTGTTGGGTCCCTAATATAGTACGGCACCTAATATGTAGGGTATCCAAAAAGGGACCATAATTTTGACAACCACCCAAATGGGGATTATTGTGCTCTTTGGGAAGACAGGAGCTTTGAAGGAGCTGCAGGTTGCTCCAAACTTCCGTTTTCGAGACCAGGAATGTTTCTATATTTTTTTTGAGGCATTATAGTTGGTTTTGTGTTTTCAATTTTTTATCTGAGGGTCAGCGGCTCGCCCATTTTATATGAGTTTTGGGGCAAGTGGCTCGGGGAACTTGGTCAGCGGCTTTCGAGTAGAGGCACACGTACCCCACATGGAGATTCCTTAGTTTAATCTAAGTCCATTGGTTTGTCAAGGAGTTCCGTAGTTTATCTTACAGGAACTCTTAGCAAAAGCAGATAATGCATGTGCGTTTGCTCAAGTTTGCTGGCGCATCGCCAAAAGCAGGACCAGCAACCTAGCTGCAGCTGCCAGCTGGAAACCCAAGGAAGTAAGACTTAAGACCTTGCAACTCGAAGCCGCGAAGCCGTTGCGAGTTTCCACTGACTGCACCGCTGAAGTACGCAGCTTGACCCCGAACTTCAAAACCCAGAAGGCCCTAAAGCCTGGTGTCTTTGCAGGCGGTCTTGCACCTGCACCGGACAATGAACAGCGCTTGCACTGCACGGGCGCTCAGACTTCTTCATGCATCCCAGTTGGCATTCCATGCATATGCAGCAGTTGGATGACAGACCACGATACAGCCGCAGCTGACTAAGCTCCTTCGTGCATGTGTTCTAGTCTCACTGGCCAACCAGCCCGGCCAGAAATTACCAGGAACGTGCCAAAGGGACACGTTGTCCATACTTCTACTGCCTGAGGCCACGACGCTTTCCCAATGCGAGACGCTCTGTGCGATGACCTTTCCCGGTGGTGGCAGAGCCCTCAGTGGCGGCGGGCCCTTCAAGCCACACCGCTTGGTGCCTTTGCGACAGCAGAGCTAACCGGACGTGCGCCGTTCAGGACTTGACGGCACGGTGGATCTGCTGAAGCTTCTGCAATGGTGCACTGGCCTGTTTCTGTGGATTCTGAACGTCGCAGCTACAGGCCGAAGCCCTTGTCTGCAACTGTCACTATCCCCATCGCAGGGCTGCGTCGCTTTGGCTCATGGTGATGCAGCCAGGTACTCGACCTACAGCTTCCAGGAAGAGCTGATTCTTTCTGCAGAGATGAGGCCGGTCTTGCAGAGTTCATGTCCATCGTTCCCGAGGTGTAGATCTGAAGCCACGTAGAAGAACCGGAGCATAAATCGCAGTCAAGGTTTCTCTTCCTGAATCCGATCTTCTCGACATACTATAAATCTAGTATAATATACCCCCGACACCCCATTCTAATCATTGAGGACCCTATACTAAACCACATAATACCCCTTATTGTAATCCCCTTTTAAAAAGGAGCCCTCAAAGGGGGGATCCCCTATTCTAACGATTAAGGCCCCTGTATTACCATCCTTGCACTCGACCTTGATCCGAGGACCCTCCGAAGGCTCAGCCGAAAGTACGGAGTGCCCTGGGAAGAGGTGGACAACGTGAAGCGCCACGGCCCAAGAAGGGAAGAGTCGGTAGACGCATCAGGAGACATTGCAGAAATATTGCTTTACATATCAGACTATACAGTCTTAGCAAGTGCACAAAGCTTCTCTTGCTTTCGTCTTCAGGTCAGTTCGACAACGTTGATGAGGATGGTTCAGGTGACATCACCTTTGAGGAAGCCGCCCGCTGCCTGCTTTTTCGCCCCTGACCTCGATCGCAATTCTCCGGAGTGCTTTTTAACCCGAAAACCCTAAGTCCCCGAGTTTGTTGCTGACTGGACACAATCCCCAAGCCAAAAAAGAGGAGTCTCGATGCTCAGAATGTCCCAGCGCAGGAGTTTAGCGACGTCTTGCGACGAGTTCTCCAGGCCAGAACAAGAAGCAGAACCCTGCCTGGCATCAAAGCCACATTCATCTTCGAATGAGAGGAGGATTGTAGCATAACCAGCGTAAGAAGCCCTGTTTGAGGCAGGGTTGTATAAGTTCATGGTGGATCTTGGAAAGTGTATACGTTGCGTACCATTACGTGAACACTGCAAAAAATAAGCCAATCCGTGGATTTTGGAGTCTGGATGTGGCTGGACAGGATCTTTCATCGGTTACAGCACACCCACAGCGATTAACAGGCAATAAGGGTGTGCACGAAGCTTTCAGGAGGTGGCCTTTTGGTTTTCCAGGGCGCTTTACGTTGAGAAGACGGTGTGTTTCGACTGCCCCCCTCGAAATGCACGAAAAGGTGCCATGAAAGAGTCAAGTATTCAGGCTCCAGCTCCAGTTAAGGACCCTTAATACACAAGCTTAAACAAATAGTAATGTTGCTTCCTTAAAGTCTCTAAATTTGCCATAATTTTCCCCGAGGCGCTGTTCCAATCATTCCTCGAAGTTTAAGGGATTCCGGAGTGTCTCGGTATGATGCCCAAGGTCTGTGACATGAGGGCTCCTGTGCAGTTGTTTCGGAGGGGATTAGGCCGTTTAGGGTTGTTGGTTATTTGGAGTTTAGGGTTTAGGGTACCATGGTTCCGGGCTTCAGGGTGCACGGCCTTCGGGCTCTTTGAGGAGTCTAAAGAGCCTTCCACGGTTTGAGGGGTCTAAAGAGCCTTCCACGGTCTTGCCGCAGGTCCCTCAGAACTTGGATCTTCCGGTGAATCGCGTCAGGCCGGCCAGTAAGCTTTCTCTAAATGAGTTTTCTCTGCATTTTCTGGTCTGGTAGCGCTAAACCACTAAATCTGACCCATCAAGCCATGATCCTGTTCTGATACACCAGAATACCTCTGCAAGCACTCACGCAAAGTCTTCGTACGCTGGTCCGAGTTGGGCTGCTCTTGAGGCACTTTTGGAAGGAGCTGGACCATGATGGAAGTGGGAAGGCTTGGGAGCTGTCTTGCTGTAAGATGCACTCCCCCAGGCAAGACTGTAAGATGCGGTGCGCAAGCGTCGCCAGCGCTTGATGCACCTTGTGAAATGTTTGCCCGCATGGCACAAGATTTGGTGCGCCACTTTGCCAATTAGTCAGTCAGCCAGCCAGTCAGAGCTTCGCAACCGCTGGAATTGAGAGTGCATGTGGGTTTGGGGGAGGATGGCATCCAAGCAACAGCACACCAAACCAAGAGATAAAAAGAACAGCAGCTTTGGCTTTAGGGCAACAGACGGCTGGGGTCAATTCGCGCTTTCGGAACCCCCAAGCATTGCTCCTGCCGAGCTTGAAGCAACCCTTCTTTTCATCAGAAACTGAAGGTTCCTTCCGTACGGGGTTGTCATTCTCCGGGTCTTAGCACGTAGTGTGTGTATTGGGGTCCCTTTTACTCCGAAACGCCTTATCAAAGCCAGCAACATGTCGCAGGCCGACTTCACCGAATTCCTTCCATGGTGGCTCAAGTACTTTCACAACAAGGTTGCCGACTTTGTGTCCTCTTAGAATGACTGAACTCTGGAACTGTTCTTCTCACGACCAAATCGAAAAGTGTTCACATGACCGACATCTGTGCAGGAGGGCCGGAAGATGTTGGTCAAGCCTTTTGAGGACACGACATTCGCTGCCATGACCTAACCTTGCGCAACTACGCCCCATGTCCCTCCAACACCAACACCATTGTAAAATGCGCTTAAGCAAAGCCTTGGAGGTAGGATGCAAAAGAAAGTGCGAGCGAGCCCGCCGGGCTTTTCCAGGACTTCTACCGCAACGTCCGAAACCTCAAGAACCCCGATCCGCCTCCTTATCGAAAAGGCAAGAAAGTGGTGCCAGAGCCTCAGAAACAAGAGATTCCAAGAGCATGTTCAATCAGTGTTTTGTGTGAGTCTTATGAGGATCTTGCGCCCAGTCGGGTTCAAAGCTTCGAGATTTGGGGCCTGGAGTGGGGCAAACAGGCAGGTGGAAGGGTCTACTACAAATTGTCCGTGGGTTGAGAGCTCACATGGTAGACAGAAAAATGCACGATCCTTATCGCCAGGAGCCGTAATTTTTTTCTTCCTTGTGTGCGAAATCAACTTTCTATTGAAATCTGTCCAGTCCTGTGTCTGCAGAATCGTTCAAGCTGGCAGTGCAACTAGCTCCAAAGCACATTGCTTTGAAACATAGATCAGAGCGTCCTCAGATCCGGAACCCGAAGAAACGAAGAAATGTGCGCTAAGAACTGCTGCATCGGGCGCGCCTTCAAAGAAAGATCACTTCCAGGACCGATGTATTTCCATGGTATCCGTCCGTCACGTTGTGTTGGGAGATTCTGAGAAGTGAGAGTCTGGTTCAGGAGATCAACGCCGTGGCTCGAGGCCTGCACCTGCATTGCACCAGGAAAATCACTTCTTCTCGATCGCAGAAATAAGCTTATCCAGGGTCCTCGCGTGCGTGCAGGTGGCTCTGGCGTCTTTGCTCGAGGCTTCGACTGGCACAACACAAGCAAGTTTTTCGCACAAGCACGATTCATTCTTTGCGCCCTGAATAATCCCGAAGCCCTCGCAGCAGGTGTGTCTGGTGGCTCTATGGGATTTGGTCGACAAGCATCTGCAGGATCAAATCCCGCCGGGATGACTTGGAACCTTGGCATGGCGTCCTGGAACCTTGGTTCCTAACGAGAGGATAGGTGCTTTTCAATGAACTCTGACGAAGGCCCCTGACACTAATTCCTTTCCTCTGAAGTGCATCAAGAGCTTCCTAGTCATTCTGGCCTTGAATCTTGTTGTCTGGTTGGTCACGGGTTTTCAACATTTTAAATGCAGCACAGGCTGCACCAAGACCAGAAATTGCTCCGTAGTTGAGCAAGCCGCAGATCGCATCGCCTCTCAGGCCATTCCAAAAAGTGGATCCCTTAATGGGGCTTCCTACAAAGTACCCTTGGTAGTATACGGCCCCCAACTATTCGATCTACTTTCTAGATCCTCCCGGGGGATTGGGTTGCCGAATATGACGGTTTGTTGGTCTCAGGGAGCTTAGTCTTTCGGATCTTCGAGTTTCGCGTGGTTCCTAATTTTTCGTTTTCTGAGGCATCTGACTGTCGAAGAAAATAGGGAATACGTGATGCTTCCGATTTTATAAAAGCTCTTCTTGAAGATATTCTAGTCTCTTTTCTGGTGTTCCCGTAGAGCAGACACTAGAAAATTTAGAAAATGAAAACAGGAAACTTTAAGCTTGATTTGTTAAGTCTAGTCGCATAGGCTTTTTAAGAAATTCTAATTGTAATAGAAAATTACGAATATTTGTTTATATCCTAGCACTGGATAATAATAGTTTGTAGTAAGAAAACAATATTGACAAGCCAGCACAATGTCAAAGAGATCAATAATTATATTTATGTCTGTGGTGTTCGTACGTATACAACTTCTCGTCGGCGTTGTAGCCAAGGAATACAAATAATTTTTCAATGTTTCTTTATATTCGTATTTTTGACAAAATTATAGTTAAAAGAATCGTTGCACTTCTTTCGTAGTAGATGGTCGGATAATATAAAAGTCTTTCTCTACGCATGAATAATATTTATCAATTATCGTCGAATCTTTGTTGATTCAAATTATTTTCAATGCTCATTCTATAAATGTAAAAAGACATGCAGTAATATTGATTATTCATTCGTTCATAAGATTCGAGTAGACAAATGGAAAGTAGATGCATCGTAAAGTAAAATGATTGGATAATAAAATAATGATACTAGATGATTTAAATTCGAAAAGAGGAAGTAGGATCTCGATAATGATAGAAAA